CCGTTCTGTAGGAAACGGCGGTGACTGTCTCAAACACCGTGGTCTTACCGGAACTCTATTGTTTCTCGTCTTCGTAAGTTGTTTGTTTTTAAACTACTAATTATAATGTTGTTTTTTCTAGTTCCATAATTAAATATTGTATATAGACTTTGATTACTTCTTTAGTGCTAAAGTTTGATTTTATTATAGGTCTAATGTATTGTAATTCTTCTGTAATAATAATTGCATTGCAACAACAAAACTATCACCGATTACGATGGAGAATCGACACGTTGAAAGCAAAGCATAACATTACATTATTAGTACGATATAACAACAGATTCATAATAGTAGTAGAACTTTGATACAAAAAGAATCATAATTAGTACTTTTATCCAAAGAGTTATTCAGGTTTTGCTCCGGATTATCTTATGAAAAAAAGAAAAAATTAACACCTAGTCAATAATAAGAAAAAATTACAATATATTAAACTTTAACGCCAAAAAATATTCATTACTCGAGGATTTGTGGATTAAAAATCAAAAGTCTTTTGGTAAAACAATACAGTTAATTCCAATAAAATTTCTCCAGAGAACAGAGATCGACGATGAACACTAATCTGCAATCGAATCCAATACCATCGTCACTCTTTACCTCCATTGACATGGGAACAAACTCTTTCAAGCTTCTTATAGTCCACGCAGATCCTTCCGGAAGATTTTTCGTTCCCGTCGAACGGCTCAAAGAACCAGTCGTGTTGTCTCGCGAATCTCCGACCTCAATTTCGTCTCAATCTCAGGTTCGTGCCCTCCAATCTCTACATAAATTCAAAAGTTTGATCCTCTCTCACAACCTCTCCGATGACCGGATCCGTTGCGTCGCCACGGAAGCTTTACGACGAGCTGAGAATCAGAAACAGTTCGTGGAGACGGTGTACGATGATGTCGGGATCCATGTCGATGTGCTTTCCGGTGAAGAGGAAGCGAGGTTGGTTTATCTTGGCGTGCTTCAGTTTTTACCGGTGTTTGAGAAATCTGTGTTGTGTATCGATATAGGAGGTGGGTCTACTGAGTTTGTGGTTGGTAAAGGTGGTGATGTGAAGCTTGCTGTTTCTTTGGAGCTAGGTCATGTTAATTTGACACAAATGTTTTTGAAAAATGGTTTTGGATTGACGGAAATGAGAGAGTATATCCGTCATGAGATTGAGGAGTCTAGGTTAGCTGATAAACTGAAGGAATCTGATGGCTTTGAGGTGGTTGTGGGATCATCGGGAACTATACGAGCTATCGAGAATGCGGTTTTCAGTGGCTATGGAGCTGATTTGTGTCAGTTCAGTCTGGAAGGGTATAAGAGGGATTGGAGATTTGGTAGGAGAGAACTGAGCAGTATTGTGGAGAAGCTTTGTAGTGAAGGAGACGAAGAGGAGATTCGGAGAGAAGGTTTTTTCAAGAGAAGGTCAGAGTTCATTGTTGCTGGGGCGGTACTGTTGGAGGAAATATTCAAGGCTCTTGTTATTGAGGAAATGGAGGTCTCTGAGTATGCATTGGCAGAGGGTGTGATTGCTGATTCTCTGGCCAAAGCTTTTGATGGACTATATGATTTGAATGCCAATGCAAGGTGGCGATCGGTTATGAGGCTTTCCACGCGGTTCAATGGAAAAAAGCGAATGAATCATGCGATACACTGTGCCAACATTGCAAAGGTACATTCTAACCACAACTTTTAAGAGCAATGTATCTGTGAAAGATATAGCTTTTTATCATACCTTTTGAACAGGACATTCTGCTCTGGCTATCTCTTATATTTATTTAGCACAGTTTTTTTTGTGTGTGTGTGTGTGCTAATGCCTCTAACTGCTTCAAAATCCGTTTCAAGCTCTGCACAACTGGATATGGTCATTTTATTGGTTCAATAGGTTTGATAGGACAGTGATTTTCCAGGAGATCTTTGTAGGTTTGAGGAAGTGCAATGATTTTAGCGTCATGTTAGACGATAAGGATCTTGAGTATCTCGAAGCTGCTTGTTTCTTACACAATATCGGAATAATCACAGGGAAAAAGGGATATCATAAGCAGTCTTATCATATCATCAAGGTTAGTTCATCTAACTCTGTCAAAAAAAAATTCTATCCACTGAACATAGCAGCTTTGTAAAGCTGAATAAGCTAATCACTGAACCTTATGAACTAGAGTAATCTATATCTCTGTTTTAAACCTTTTTGTAGGTTTTCAGTGTCTACTTTTAACCTCATTGTTATTAATAGTTTCTTCTTTCGTAGAATGGGGATCATCTCCATAGCTACACTGCTGAAGAAGTCGACGTAGGATACCTAATTCTCTAGAAGGAGGAACTTGTCTTGAATTTACTGTTCTCTAATTACTATCATATAATTTGCAGCTTATAGCAATGCTTACGAGACACCAAAGAAAGAAGTTTCCCAAGCTTAATCGTCCACCTCTTAAGGACTTCACTGAGAAGGTAATGTGTCTCATAATTCAGTTTAGCAAACTAGGACCTGTTGATGTGGTTGTTCTGATCCTCATTCTGTTGCAGGCAAAGCGAAAGTTCATAATTCTGTGTTTGATTGTACGATTATCTGTTATACTTCAACGGAGTGAGAATATAGATCTCCAAGAAGTAGAATTTCTTGAATCTGCTCAGAGCTTCAAACTTGTAAGTAAATCTTCTTCTTTTATCATTCTATTTATTACAAGTCATTGTTTTAGTGACATGGACTTTCTAGTCGATTAAATCAAATCTTGTGAAAGTTTAGAACTTGTTAGTGAATGTCCTTGCTGGTCCTATAATGGTTGTTTTCATCTCAACTTATCAGCTCAACCTCATGGGTTTAATCCTTGTTTGACTTTGCTATGATTTTTTTTTTCTGCAGGTGTTGAAACAACAAAACCACGAACCCTTGGTGGTTGGTTCTGAAGATGAAGTACACAAAATCTCCGATGGATTACAATTGGAGCAAGAAGTTGAGCATTTTAAAAGGGTAAACTTTTGTTCCGCAATAATTTCGTTCAATTTCACTTCTATTATCCAAAGTTTAAACTTCTTGCTATCAAATATCCAGCGATCAGCAGGTCTCTATAATTGATTAGAAGCAGTGTAACAGAGACAAAAATAAACAAATTGAAACCTGAACAGTTGAAATGACAAAAACTTTGAAACTCTTGAGTAAATCAATCAGCTAAATATAAACAATCTTTGATTTTTTGTGGCCAAAGTCTCCATATGTAACCTTCTGGTATTCTTTTGCCTTGAACTCAGCAGCTATTCAAGAAGGAAATGGTGATTGTTTTTCCTTCCTGAAAATCAATCAGACTGGTTTCCTAGCTCCGCGTGTCATCAGTATTGAACTGAAGTTTTTCCCAGGTACAAATTTTTTTTTTTTCTGCAATAAAGATCAAAAGCAAGTTATTTAGTCACAATCTTAAACCTCACTGCGCTAGAACTGAACCTCAAGATCTTCATCCAACGAGTTCTTCACTGTGATCGTTTCGCGGAGCTTTTTAAATCCATTGCAGGCAGTCCAAATTCCGAAAGTCCAGAACGTCAGGTGGTATTCGTTCAGTTATCTTGCAGTGTGTTTACCCAGAAACCGATGGTAAAACTATAATTGCCTCTGGAAGCAGAGAAAGAAGAATGGCTCTTGAGTCTTGATGCTGTAAATTGCTAACCTAACCTCTGTAAATTTTGGTACTGTTCTCTCATGGCTCTTGATTTACTTACTGATTGCAACAATATTAGATAGAAACTCTTAGCTTGATCTTAATTTTTTTAATAAATGAATCCATAATTTTTATCAGTCTGAACAAAATTGAGAGGCTTTGGTTGTTTGTTTACGTTTGATTTTGCAAAAGAAAGTATATTTTATAATGTGAGAATTCGGAGCAAACCGTAAAAATTGGCGCAAAGGCTTTAGGATCTGCTTCATTCAAAACGACTTCTTTGAGAACAAAAACTAGTGAAGAGCAAATGAGCAGAGGTTTAATGGAAATCGAGAGGAAGCTACTTCGTCTTCTCCACGGCCACAATACTCGAACCCGTTTACCCGAAATCCATGCCCATCTTCTCCGTCACTTTCTTCATGGTTCCAATCTCCTTATCGCTCACTTCATCTCCATCTGCGGATCCCTCCGCTACTCTGATTACGCTTCCCGCGTCTTCGCTCACATCCAAAACCCTAACGTTCTCGTCTTCAACGCCATCATCAAATGCTACTCTCTCGTCGGTCCGCCTCTACAGTCTCTCTCGTTCTTCTCTTCCATGAAAACCCGCGGAATTTGGGCCGACGAGTATACTTACGCGCCTTTGCTCAAATCATGTTCGGGTCTTTCTGATTTGCGGTTTGGGAAATGCGTTCACGGTGAGGTTATTAGAATCGGGCTACACCGGCTTGGATCGATACGGATTGGGGTGGTGGAGCTTTATGCTTCGAGTGGGAGAATGGGTGATGCGCAGAAAGTGTTCGACGAAATGCCTGACAGAAACGTGATCGTCTGGAACTTAATGATTCGCGGGTTCTGTGATTCTGGGGATGTTGAAAGGGGTCTTATGTTGTTCCGGAAGATGAGTGAAAGGAGCGTTGTGTCATGGAATTCGATGATATCGAGCTTGTCCAAATGTGGCAGAGATCGTGAGGCTTTGGATCTTTTTTGCGAAATGATTGATCAAGGTTTCGATCCAGATGAAGCGACTGTGGTCACAGTCTTGCCTATCTCTGCCTCTCTGGGAGTTTTGGATACAGGGAAATGGATTCACTCTACTGCAGAATCAAAGGGCTTGGTTAAAGATTTCATAACCGTGGGAAATGCTTTGGTAGATTTCTACTGCAAAAGCGGTGACTTGGAGACAGCGACATCAATATTTAGGAAGATGAAGCAGAGAAACGTTGTTTCATGGAACACAATGATATCCGGATCAGCGGTGAACGGAAAGGGAGAATTCGGGATAGACTTATTCGATACTATGATTGAGGAAGGAGAAGTAGCTCCAAATGAATCGACATTTGTAGGGGTTTTGGCATGTTGCTCATACACAGGTCGGGTTGAGAAAGGAGAGGAATTGTTTGGTTTGATGACGGAAAATTTTAAACTTGAGCCAAGAACTGAGCATTACGGTGCGATGGTTGATCTACTGAGTAGGAGCGGGAGGATCAAAGAAGCATTTGAGTTTCTCAAAAGTATACCTGTGAACGCTAATGCAGCAATGTGGGGTTCACTGCTCAGTGCGTGTCGCAGCCACGGAGATATAAAGCTAGCGGAGGTTGCAGCTATGGAGTTAGTGAGGATTGAGCCAGGGAATTCGGGGAATTATGTGTTGTTATCTAATTTGTATGCAGAGGAAGGGAGATGGGAAGATGTAGAGAAGGTAAGAACGTTGATGAAGAAGAAATCGCTGAGGAAATCTACAGGCCAAAGCACCATTTGTGGCAATGTATGATTCTGAGAACTAGCCGATTTCTTGATAGAAATCAAGCGTTTCAGTAGGTCATGCCCTATCCAAAGATATTCAGCTGTGTCGATCCCGTGGGCTTACTCCTAAATACCAGAAAGTCTTGATAGTAAATTAACCTGAAAGCGTCTGGCCATTCGATTCAGATTTCGAATCGTCAGTTGGAAAATTTTGCAACTTTTTCATTTTTTTATGAAAGAATTTTGCAGAACACTCGACACAAATGCCAAAAAGCATCCAAAACCGCTATGACAAAGACTCGAACCTATATATTTTGTTCGGTTTGATTCAAGGAAGAGACATGAGTATTGCAATTGTAAACAATGCACATGAAGTTTGGAGTTGCAATCCATCGACTTAATATTAAAACTTAGCGGAAACTACATGAGAGAAAGTTTGTCCTTTCAAAGAGAAAAAATAAATGAGATGTCTCATCGATAAACCGTGAAGCAATTCATCAATCCTTGTCTGGTTTCCTACCTACTTGATGTAGTAAGACATCCATTTGAAACCCTCACCATATCCCATTTTACGGACGATGCTGCACATGAAGACCTCAAGGGGACGAACAGCCGAGTCTCCGAGACTCACATTGCCTTTACCGGTTGTGAAATTAGTGAGACCCAAGTAGTACTTCATCTCATCTTCTGAGGCTGCATAAGGAAGATCAATCTTGTTCCCAAGAATAAGAAAGGGAACATTTCCTAAAGCTTCGTCTGATAGAAGAGCGTCAAGCTCTCTTTTCGACTCCACAAACCTCTCCTTGTCGTTAGCATCCACTAGGTACACAACAGCATCAACCTTTACATACACACACAAATAAAGCAAAGAGTTTCTCTCAGCAAAGATAGATAGATTCACATAGACTGTTACACAAATCAACTTGGTTAAACTTAAAGAGAGAGTTTCTATCAACAACATAGAGACTTTTCCAGTTCCACTAAACTATGGTTCAAGATTCTCCATGTTGCATTGAAGTAACTCTACGGATTTAGCTTAAACACAAAACATGTCTCTAGTTGGGGTCATGTTCTGTTGTAAAGAGAGATCTTTTAACCTTAGCATAGTAGTCCTTCCAAACCCTACGAGCAATCTGATGTCCTCCCAAGTCAAAAGCCTTGAACTTGATTTTCCCAATGCTCAATTCCTCAGATGTCGGATGCTGTGTTGGCTGGTGCTGAACTAATCTCTGCAACAAAATCACACAAACAAATTTGGAGTTTAAGCATCGCCAATTTTTGTATCGATTGCAAGAATCTCCGCTACGATTTGTATATACCCAAATTTCTCAGTATTACATGTCAATTGCAACCCAAAATTCAATCAATAAAAGAGAGTACAAAAGGAACTGACCTCGTCTTTGAGCATGTGAAGCAAAGTGGTTTTTCCGGCATTGTCGAGCCCTAGAAACAAGATCTTCGCTTCTTTCTGCCATAAACCTAACGTGGCCAAGATTCCATAGAACCAATCGAACAAAAACATGACGTCGTCTTCCTCCTCAGATCTGACAGAAAACGCAAAAAGAAAACAACCAGAGGAACTTGTACGGTCTTCTTCTAATCAACTATCGAAGATCGAAGCTCAAAGAAAAATCAAAAGAGCCAGAGAGATGAAGAATCAAAATCAACAGAAAAAGGTTTTTGTTCTTCTCGTCGAGAGAAATGAACGTTTTATACAACGACACAAAAAACAAAAAAAACACGTGGATAATGGGGAAATTGATGTGGAGACTTATGATTGGTAGGGTTAAGTGTCATTGACGTCATTGAACCAATCTGGACCGTCCGATCTTGTCAATACGTTAAATATTGTGGACACCATCGAGTTTTCTCCCTCTTGGGTAGGTGAGACATGAGGGAAGCCAAAAGAACGCCACGTGGCAGGAGAGTTCGATTCATTTTAATCACTTTTTTTTCCCAGATTAATCCAATTGTATTCAAATTTGGCTTGCTGATTTATTATAATTGTTACACTTTAGATTGGACAATATGAAAAAGCTGGGATTTCTCTTGTTCACTGAGATTGAAATTAAGAACCCAACTAGATCTGATTAAACATAATTTTCTGGTACTAATAATATTTTGATAAAACTTTTGGAATTCTACATTCTGATCCATAGAGATAGAAAGGCAAACAAAAGTCTTTTAAGAGAATAATAATATTATTATTGTTCGAAGATCTAAGCTCTTTCACCTCTGATTCTTCTCGCGAGCTGAATATCCTTAGGCATGATGGTAACTCTCTTAGCGTGAATCGCGCAGAGATTCGTGTCTTCGAAGAGCCCGACGAGGTAAGCCTCAGCAGCTTCCTGTAGTGCAGCAACGGCACTGCTCTGGAAACGAAGATCCGTCTTGAAATCCTGAGCGATCTCTCTCACGAGTCTCTGGAATGGGAGTTTACGGATCAGAAGCTCAGTGCTCTTCTGATACTTCCTGATCTCTCTTAGAGCAACCGTTCCTGGTCTGAATCTGTGTGGCTTCTTCACTCCTCCCGTCGCCGGAGCTGATTTCCTCGCCGCTTTTGTCGCTAGCTGTTTCCTCGGTGCCTTTCCTCCGGTCGATTTCCTTGCCGTCTGCTTGGTACGAGCCATTATGCGAAAACGAGGATAAGAAACTGATTTGGTTTTTGTGGAGAGAAACAATGCAAGATTTGAGATCTGATTTGTGGATTTGTTAGGAAGGAGAAAGAGGGGGATATTTATCATATGGGAATAACAAGAGCGGGAAATAATATGTTTTTAGCGGTATTGAATCTGGATCGTTTGTTTGTTTTTTAATCGACGGATATAAAGGGATTATAATGACGATCCGCGTGAAATCTTAGCAACCGTAGATTAGTATGATCCTACGGAGGAGATTACACTCTTTCTTGATACCGATCCGCGTGAAGGTGAATCGACCAATAGAAATGATTTATTAGTCAAAGACACTTGTGCCCTGAAGTATAATAAATAAATAATACACTGAAGCCCATTATCCAATTCGGCCTGCAATCTTGTGAACCTAGCTCACCAATGTAATGTAATCATTGTTGTGTAAAATTGTCAAGGTTTTCATTAGAGCTAAAAGATTCAAAAACTTTTCAATTTCAGAGTTAAATGAGAGCTACGTAAAATTTGGATATAAGATTTGTACAGAAAGGAGTGGAAACATTCATCTATGTGTGAGGCCACTAGATTCTTCTACATTCTACATTTACAGTGTCAATGTGGAAATTGATTGTGAAGTTAATCAAGACATTCTACATTTCTAGCGACAATCAACTAGCAGGAAGTTGGATAAAGGATGGTGGTCTGTGACATAAAGATATGAAATTCTCAAAAAGGGGGGATTCAGTGACTTAATACATCACAATCCAATTTTGGTTGACTTTGGTTAGAAGAGATGCAAAATCCCCTTTTAATAACTAGATGCTAAAAATATTTCAAAAGAAAGAAAGGATAAAACAAAATAAGAGAGACTCGAAAACTTTTGTCTTCAATCATTCCCTCACAACTCATCCTGCAAAACCAAATCAAATCAATCAATACACAAATATGGATTCGTGAAAACTTCTAAGTGATAGATATTGTGGTAAGCAAACATACATGAGCGGCATCTTTCTCGGAGCTAGCTTCTGGTTTGGTCTCATCGGTCTTAGATTCAGTATCAGATTCATCACCTTCATCGTCCTCTGCATCATCTTCAGCCTTGGAAAAAAAAGTTTATACACAATAATATCAGGACCTCGACAGATACAAGAAGACTCTCAAATCTTGATCAATCACAAAGGACTTACATCAGTGCCCGAAGGAGGAGCGTCCTTCGATTCCTGTAACAACATAGAAAAAGAGGATGTCGTTTCAGATTATCTTTTCCCAACCAAGTCAAATATGTAATTTGGTTTGTTAGAAACTCCAAACTAACAAGGTTTTCAGTTCTTTGTTTTAGAGATTCCCATGAATTACACTGACTAATTTAGGGAAGATATTTGGTTGAGAAAGTGTTACCTCTTCCTCTTTCTTCTTCTCAATCTCATCGAAAGCTGCTTTCTCTGCCTGCAATATGAGATTAGATTGGCTATTCTGATCAGTAACCAGCAGAAACAAAGAGTTGTGTGTTTATGGAAAGATGGGTTATTTTAAACACGTACATCCTTGAGCTTGCCCCATGTTTCCTCGGCCAACTTCTTGGCGTAGTCTGGGTCATCGCAGATCAAGACATTGTCGAATAATGATCCTGATTTCACCTGACAGAGAGTGATAGGTATTTAGATGGGAGTCATGGGACCAAAGCAGATATTGAAAGACAAGATGTCACAGTGACAAGATCTATTACCTGCCACAATTCGATTCCAACATACTTCAGCGTGGGGAAGACATAGAGCTCTGGGTCATCCTTGAAGTCTGCATTAAATAAGTTATGTCTTAGAGAGTTAAATTTTTCAAGTGAGCTACAGTTAACTCCATACAAACATGATATAAAAATGTAAAATAAGGTGAACAAAAGATACGGATGACTAAATACATCAAATTGGTGTGACCGAATCACAAACAACATGTATATTATGCAACATGAAATATGGAAAAATGACGTAACTTACCCGGGTTGTCAATCTCTGGAGCCTCCCACTTGCCCTTGTAGTTGGGGTTCTTGGTTTTCTACAGAAAAATAATACAACCTTGAGACGAAGAAAAGACTTGACCAAGTTATGTATACATTTTGACAGCGAGAAAGACAAACCTTGGGCTTCCATTCACCCATGTACTCAGGGTTGGGAATGGTGGGGGCAGTCCACTCACCATCTTCTTCATCATCCCAGTCCTCAGGCTAAGAAAAAGGAGACAGAAAAATCAGCAAATACAGAACACATGCCAGAGATTTTAGATTCTGCGTCAAATATAGACAAGGTAGAAACCTTCTTTGCTTCGGTGTCTGGGATCTCCTTTGGGATATCATCGTATCCGTCAGGTTTTTTGTCTTCAGGGTCGGAAATGTACTCTTGCTCGTCCCAGTCCTCAGGCTGTAAAAAGAGGTTCAATTGTAAGTTGGATTGTATTATAGGTACAATGAACCAATTTGATCAGAATCAGACTGCATGAGCTTTGGCCAGGTTTGTTCTTGTTTGGCCTATAATTGACATACAAGTAGTTGGTTCTTAGTTTAGCCTGGTTGACAAGTCATCACATACCTTCTTGGCGCTCGGGTCCTTGATCTTCTTTGGTGGGAGAAGATCCCAGTCAGAGTATAGGCTACCAGTTTGCTTCTCAACATTATCAATGAGAATGGCGTAAGTAGCATCTGGGCGGAGGATGAATGTGTAAACATGGGTGAGCTGGTCAGTTTCACATGGAACATCCTTCTTGATCAGGTGGTTGGCATCATTGTAGGTAAGGATAGCATGCACTTTCTTCGTGCTGTAGCCACAGATATCGGGACCAAACATGATGCTGCAGGTAAAAGCAGATGGGTGTTATTTTTAAGTATTGATGTCAGTTTATAATGTTGAGATGAGATAGGAAATGTACCTGTATGGGGTGTCTCCACCAAATTTCTTCTGGTCAACATCAGCATTGAGCAGCTTCATGTAGCCACCACCACAGTCAAGCTTTTGCTCGTGCTTGACTGAGAATTGGAAGACTAAGGTTTTGTCCTTGTTACTGAATTCAGGGAACTCAGCTGAAATGGCGTAGAATCTGTAGTCCTCACTGGTCTGGATACCTGCAAGACAATGAAAATTGCAACAGCTGGGACCATGTCAGGAACCAACAAACCAACTAGAATCATACCTTTATCGTTAGCGTCACCAGACCAATTTCCTGAAGTGTGTTTCCACTCCCCAGCAGTATTATCATCTTTCTTCCACTCAGATTTAACCCATCTACTCTCCCATCCATCATCTTTAGTTATGGAGAAAACAAATCAAGACAAACCAAAATCCACAGATCCATTATCGGAATAATACTGAACAAACATTTCAAAACGATAAATATCCGATGATGATCGGAAATGGATCCGTAACTCGCAGCATTAAACAGACACAAATCTATGAAGATATCACAAAGTCCGAAATACAAACAAACGCATCCACTGAAATCTACAGAGTCTAGAGACAGAGATAGAGATGTAGAACAAGGGAGAGAGAAAAAAGAGTTCAAGTTACCATCAAAGCGCTCCTCGAAGATAACTTTGGCGGAGGCGATCGCGACGAGACCGACAACAATCAGAGACACGAGGCTATGGAATAATTTCGCCATTGTTAAAACTCAGATCGGAGCTTCCCCCGAGATATCAGAAGGCCTGGAACAAGTATACCGCCAAGAAGCAAGCTAGTGTCTGTCACTGATGTGTGTTTTTTTTTTTTTGTCTCGCTTTTATCTTTGCATTGATGATGGATGGTTTTCTTTTGTGTCAAAGATTAGCGTAAAAGCTACTCAAAATTTGACTTCAATCAATAATGACACCCATTGAAGCAAACCTTTTTTTTTTTTTCCAAATATAAACTTAACTATGATCAAAGCTCCATTTTAGAATGAATACACTTTTGGAGTTTATGATTTAAAGAAAAAGAAAAAAAAAACATTGAAGAATGGATGGGTCTTTACAAGACTCGGAACAAAGAGAAGATTCTTGTATGTTTTGCTATGTTAATTGTGAATGTCCTGGAAGTTTAGCTACACCTCTAACATCCATCAGTTTACGAAATCTCTGTGCATCTGTAAATCTTCCAGTACTACAAAATACGTTAGACATAAGCACATAATCTCCTCCATGGCTCTTCTCCAACTCCATTAGCTTCCTAGTAACCCTCTCAGCCATTTCAGGATCATCGTAAACGCTACAAGCTCCAAGAAGCATTCTCCAAACCACGACCTTTTGGTCAATCGGAATCTCCAATGCGATCTTTTCCGCTTCTTCTAATCTTCCTTTTCTTCTCAACATATCTACTAGACATCCATAGTGCTTCACATCCGGAGTTATCTTGTACTTGCTTACCATTTTGTTGAAAAACTCTAGAAACTCTTCGTCTGCTAAGCCTCCATGGCTACAAGCGTTTAAAACACTGATCATGGTCACTCTGTTTGGTTTCAACCCGAGTCTTTCCATGTCTTTGAACATACTGACCGCTTCTTTGCCCATTCCGTGCATTGCAAACGCCGAGATCATCGTTGTCCACGATACCAGATTCTTTCTTTCGTTTGGAATCTCCATGAAAAACTTCAATGCGCTTTTGATACACCCACATTTTGCATAAGCATCGATAAGAGAGTTAGTCACACGAATGTCACATGGAACAAACCTTCTTTTCCTTACATAAGCATGAACCGATTCGCACATTCTCTGGTCTCCTAAGTTCCAAACAGCTGGGAGAATCGCGAGAATGGTTATCTCGTTAGGATTTATCGCATCACAAGCAACCATTCTCGAAAACAAGAGTATAGCTTCCTTGGGTTTATTCACTCGTGCATAGCCATCAATAACAGTGGTCCAAGACACTACCGTTCGATTCGGCATCTTCTCCAAAAAGCAAAGAGCTTTTCCAAACTCTCCTAAATTAGTCAGGCCAGTGATCATCACATTCCAAGTTACCTGGTTTCTCTCAGGCATTTCATCGAACACTTTGTATGCATCAACTCTGTTTCCACCAACAAGATACATACCAACCAAAGCTGTCTGCACGTAGACATGGAACTCAAAACCCAGTTTTAACGTCAAACCATGGAGTCCAATTCCCAGAAGTAGTAACCGGAATCGCGGATTCGAACTCGCTTTCAGGAGAAAGAGGTAAGTGAAACTATCAAAAGGAGGCAGTCTCTGTTTGTGATCAGACAAGAAATGAAGCTGTTGGAGTTGGTCGTAGAGGAAGTAAGCACGAAGAGGTGTTTCGCCAAGAGAATAGCATCGAAGCAGAGTATTGAATAGAAAAAGTTTCCCAGAGTTTTGCTTCTGGTGAAGAAGAAGAAGCCCAGAAGTTGTGAAATGAGAATGGAGCTGGTGGATGATTCTAGGGTTCGACTCATTTCTCCGCAGAAGAGAATGAAGGTATTGAATCGAGACGATGTTCTTACAATGCTTACCATCAGAAACCAAAGTCGAATAAGGAGAAGAAGAATGCTTGATTATCGTGTAAGAGCGACGAGCGAACCAGAACATAATTGCTCATTAGTTTTTTTTAGAGCGTCATTATCCATGATATTTGGTGGGTATTATTAGATATAAAATTATAAAACACACATTTTCTCTTTCTTTTACTCAACTTTATACCTTTTTTTTAATCATTTTATTCAATTTTTATTAATTTTATATTTAAACACACCCCAACTAAAGTTTAAACTCTCTCTAAAAATATCAACCCATTGATACAAAGACACTCTCTCTCCAAAAGTATCAACTCATCTCCTCTTTTTACTCAAATTTTATTAATTTTATATTTCAATACACTCCATTATTTCAACCAAAAACACTCTCTTTCTTCTTTTTATTCAAATTTTAATAATTTTATATCTAATGATACCCACCAAATCTCATGGATAATGATAATCTGGAGCCATAAATTAGTAGGCAGCGATATTTGTATTGACTTAACCTTAGAGTCAGAGTTTTACATTGATGATCCCAAAAAACAATTTGTAGCTAATTCTCTACACTGTTTTATACATCATCACTCGTTTGGCTTAGCTGCTACAGAATCCCTCTTAAACTGAATTATCATTGGTTTACCTTTGAACACAAAACCATTTACAAGATTCTGCAAAATCACAAAAGAACATATCAGTCACACTTTTGCTTTATCTTCAGGGGCAAAATGCTTGTCAATGATATATAGTATTCAGTAATTTATGCATAACAAGAAGGTGGTGTTAAGGATTATAACCAGAGCACGATGTGCAACTTCAACAGATGGAAATGTTAAAAAGGCTTGCTCTCTCATCCTTCCTTCCTGTAAATATTATTGATTCAGACATTCAATCATAGTCATAAACCAAGGATATTGATAATAATCGAAGGCAGAGTTTAAGGTTGTGAAAAGTCCATAGACGGACGCATCACCTTCATCAGCCTAATGCCAAGACTGGATTTAGCTGCTTCGATGCTTTCAAATAGTGACCCTACATGAATGCTAATATTTAGCTATAAATCGACTTCAAAAGAGGCAAGTTATATGCAGGTAACAACTCGTAAATTAACGACTCTTGATTTTTTATTTGACTATCAGAGCTACGTCTTACCAAATATGTAATAGAAATCCTCAACAACAACATCTTTGGCAAGGTTTTTAATATACAGCACAAGCGACGGATCCCCAGCTGTGTAGTTCTGCACGC